TCGCATCGCACAGAAGCGCAAGTTTGAAGAGGCCGAGGAACTGGATGTCAATTCTGGTATTCATGGCAACTGGACGTTGGATAACGCCAAACAAAAACTCAATGAATATATGGCACAGAATAAGATTAAAGCCGATTATCGGTTCACGTCTGTAGGGCCCGACCACTCCAAGTATGACTTAATCTCATCAGTTGTTGCCATGTTTTGAATTATTTAATCACTTATATCTACTGACAAACCATTTATTCTCTAAAATAGGTCTCAAATCGGGTCTTATTTTAGAGAATATTTTGTTTGAGTTACGAATTAATTGAAATAGACTTTGAATTATTGATACAATTGATTGACAAGATTTTTATGGCCATAAGATAATCAGAAATTTTAATATTAATTACCGATTAACTAATCGATTAATAGATTAAGTGGTTCTCATGTTTTTGAACGTATGATTAGTTTATCGGTTATTATTGTCTGCAAAGAATGGCCACAAAAATAGTGTTCAACACAATTGTCGGTGTCGTTGATAATGCGGTAAATTATATATTAAACGTAAAATAACTGTAAAATCAATACATATGTTGGAAATGTTTAGGACTTTTGTCTGTGAATTGGATGTCTGGATCAGAAGCCTCGCAAGAAGTGAGTTAAACAGCTAATGATATTCGAGTATTAAATATATGATTTGAATAATAGATGTGTCGGCCCGAGAGCCCGGTTCTAACAAGCAGTTGGCCTCCAAAGCCTGTGCCCTCTCTATTGTGAGACAATTATTTCACTTCGGAATTATCGGCGAATTTCAGGTGAATCCGGTCAAGAAAAGCAAATCTCAGGGCCAGGTATACGTCTACTAGTGATGTACTCTTCTAAGCACTTATAGTTAATTGACTAATTATTTTCTCAACAAAAGGTCGACTCGTATGCAATCGATATACCACTCACTTTGCTTCCAGTGATTAACAAAACGCTCCAAGATCTCAATATAACAGCGGTTCCCATATGCGAACACCGGACCCCTCAAGGTGTTCCCGAATCGTACTCTATTCTTCTGGATCACCAGACAGCGGAACCCAAGGTTGACACGAGTACCAGTTCGCAGTGCGTTAGTTGGTGTCCACCCATTGAAAACTGGAATCCATGGAAGGGCTGTAATATAGACGAGGGTTTACTCGCGACCTCTTCGTTGCCACAAATAAGTGAAATGCTTTTGAAGACACAGTTTGAGAACCAGAGAAGCCCTCAGTTTCATCAGATGATTGAACGCCGCAAAGCGCTTCCCGTTTGGAACATGAAAGACAAGATTCTGGGGGTAATTAGAGACAACCCGGTTGTGATAATTCGTGGCAGCACTGGTTGTGGTAAGACGACTCAAGTGCCCCAGTTCATTCTGGACGCATTCATCAGCAACAGTAGGGGCGCTGACTGTAACATAATCGTAACCCAACCGCGAAGAATAAGCGCCATATCTATCGCCGAAAGAGTGGCTCAAGAAAGAGCTGAGGCTTTGACTATGAATTCAAGCGTTGGATACAGTGTTCGCTTTGAGAACTCTCTGCCCCGACCTTACGGTTCGATACTCTTCTGTACGATCGGAAACTTATTGCGTAAACTGGAGGCCGGACTCCGGGGTGTGTCGCACGTCATCTTAGATGAGGTCCACGAGCGAGACGTCAACACAGACTTCCTGCTGGTTGTGGCCCGCGATATGATCAACGCTTTCCCGAATATGCGACTCATCCTAATGTCTGCCACAATCGACACGACTATATTCCAGAACTATTTCGGTAGCTGTCCCATACTTGAGATCCCGGGTCAGTCACATCCCGTTCAGGAGTACTTCCTCGAAGACTGTGTCGAGATGTTACGCTTCGTGCCGCCGCCCCCTCAGCGCCGCAACAAAAACTTTCAGGACGAGGACGCAGAGGGCGGTGCCGCTGATACCGCCGGCGATAATCTGAACAAGCAACTTGGACCCAAATATTCCGATTTCACACGAAATTCGATGTCGAAAATGAGCGAAAGAGAGATCAGTTTTGATTTGATTGACGCACTGTTGGCACACATTCAGACACTCAACACTCCGGGCTCTATACTGGTGTTCCTCCCCGGATGGAACTACATCTTCGCACTGATGAGACACTTGCAGTCGCATCCATACTATAGCAATACACAGCGCTTCCTAATACTTCCTTTGCATTCGCAAATACCGCGCGAAGAGCAGCGGCGAGTCTTTGATCCCGTGCCGCCCGGAGTCACCAAAATTATTTTATCCACAAATATCGCCGAAACGAGTATAACCATCGATGACATCGTGTTTGTCATCGATTCGTGCAAAATAAAGATCAAACTCTTCACATCGCATAACAATATGACTAATTATGCAACGGATTGGGCCTCAAAGACAAACCTCCAGCAGCGCAGAGGACGTGCCGGACGAGTGAGACCCGGATTCTGTTACTATCTGTGCAGTAGAGCTCGATATGAGGCAATGGACGAGTATCTGACACCTGAAATATTCAGGACTCCATTGCATGAGATCGCACTAACCATCAAACTCTTAAGACTGGGTTCTATCACTGGATTCCTGTCCAAAGCCATAGAACCCCCACCTATTCATACAGTTATCGAATCGGAGGTCATATTACGAGAATTGCGAGCACTGGACGATCAGAGCGAACTGACACCTCTGGGAAGAATTCTGGCCCGACTTCCCATTGAGCCCCGAATCGGCAAAATCATGATCGCGTCCATCATATTTGGCTGTCCGGACTCCATGTGCACCATAACAGCCAACTCGAGCACATGTCCGGATCCTTTTGATTCATTCAATCTGAATCGTCTGCGTTATGTTCACAGACGCTTCAGTAACGGCCGCTTCAGTGATCACATCTTAGTTCAGCGCACATTCAAGACGTGGGAAAAGGCTTCATATAGAGGAGAGTCCAATGCCCTTGAATTCTGCGAACAGTTCGCAATCCTGCCGACGGCTATGAAGATCACATCCGAGGCTAAGAAGCAGTTATTGGATTTGTTGCGGAGCTCTATGTTTGCGGACGACGTTCTGGGCGACCGTTACTTTGACGGCGGCAACAGTCAACACATGAGAGACCAGTCGGGAACAGAGGGCAACACTGGATTGGATTTAGTGACAGCTCTGTTGACAATGGGTTTGTACCCCAATGTATGCCTACATAAAGAGAAGCGAAAGGTGTTGACCACTGAGGCTAAGATAGCTTTAGTTCACAAGTCATCGGTCTGTTACACAAACCTGCCGTACCCTCAGAGCACGTTTCCGATGCCCTTCTTTGTCTTCGGCGAGAAGTTGCGAACGAGTGTCATATCAGCCAAACAACTAACGATGGTTTCGCCCATTCATCTGCTTCTGTTCGGCTCTAAGCGAGTGGACGTCACGCCCGACCTATTCGTTCAGTTAGACAAATGGATTGACTTCAAAATGGACCTAAACATGGCTGCGGCTATTGTGGCCCTCAGACCCGCCGTCGAACACCTCATTATGAATGTGTCGGCCAATCCTGAGTCTGTGGGCAGTCTGTCCCCACCCGAGCAACAGCTCATTGAGACGGTGACTAGGTTACCGATCGGCTCTTCACTCTTCAGGTTCCACAAGAAGACGGATCCGTCGACACCACAAGACGCCAGATTCAGCGCCTCTTCTGACTGGCCTTTCGTCGACTTCGGATGGAAAGTGATTTGTCGGCCAATCCTGAGTCTGTGGGCAGTCTGTCCCCACCCGAGCAACAGCTCATTGAGACGGTGACCACGCTTTGCAATTTCGATATCGTCAACATCACCAAAATGGAGCCCAGAGTTGACTCTCAGAATCAATGCTAATCTTTGCAATCAAACCATTGATTGATCCGAAGAAGTGTTTGAATAACGGTTTTAATTTAGCTGCACTTTACTATCGAATTTGCATGTTTTAAGTTAACTTTTTTTGACTTTATAAAATTGTATTTAAATTTATACACTTAACTAGCTTTTATTTATATAAAAAAGTAATTTTTCTTTTATGTGTACAACACGACATTGAATTTATCATATAAATTTTGAGAGGTTTTATAAAATGAAAGTTAATGGCCATGACTATTTTCATAAGTTACTTAAAGTCTGTGATTAAATTACTAAAATAATATGTTTACTTAACAAATTATGATTCAAATAGTTTTTAAAAATATTGTAATAAATGTCTGTCATTGACCGTAGTTTTACTCTTTTTGCCACAATTTGAAAGTTCTATCGAAAGAGGATGTGATTAAATGCTTATTATCTGGCGATACGTCAACGGAAGTCACTTTGCCGTCGTGTCCGCTAAGAGTCTTGATTGGAGTCCAACCGGGATGTGCCCACAGTTTGACTGTATTATCATAAGAGGCGGTCATTATATAATTGCCAATCGTTTTCTCGAACAACACTTTGGATATGATGTTAGTGTGGGCCGCTATGGTGTACTCGAGCTTACGTTCCCTTAAGTTTCAGATCTTGACGCTATTGTCTTCACTTCCGGTCACTATTTGGTATCCATTGGGAGAGAAGTCAATACCCAAAACCCCTTTGAGGTGTCCGTCCATAAACATAATACAACGGCCTGTCCTTAGGTCCCAAACCCTCCCAAATGAGTCGAGACCTGCGGTAGCGATGAGAGAGCCGTCGCATTGGAAGGAGAGGTCGTGCACTGGTTTGCTGTGTCCTTCTTGATGGAGAACTTCTTCGCCGGCCTCTAAGTCCCACAAACGCCAGGAGTGGTCGTAACAACACGTGGCTAAGAAGCGACCGCTCGGATGGAAATCTAAATGACTGACACGATTGGGTTCGTGGCCTTCGAGGTTACCGATCGGCTCTTCACTCTTCAGGTTCCACAAGAAGACGGATCCGTCGACACCACAAGACGCCAGATTCAGCGCCTCTTCTGACTGGCCTTTCGTCGACTTCGGATGGAAAGTGATTTGTC